CTGCATTTGAAGATATCATGTTTAAAGAGGTAATTAAGGTTAAACCACATCAACGAGTTGGCCCTAATCTGACATTACTGGTGTCCTTATAAGAAGAGGAGATTATGATACAGAAATGTGCAGAAGGAAGACCACGTGAAAACACAGGGAGAAGGCAGCCTTCTTCAAGCCAAGGAGAGAGTCCTCAGAGGAATCCAACCCTGCTGACACCTTGATCTTGGACTTCTGGAGTCCAGAACTGTGAGGCAATAAATTTCTGTTGTTTAAGCCACCCAGTCTGTGGTGCTTTGTTATGGCAGCCCTAGCGAATTAATACAGGCAGATGCTCTAGAAACCTGAGGTGCCTCGGAGATTATCACAAAGAGCCATCCAGAAAGGAGGAGGCTAGCTGAGTCTGCAGATAGGAATGAATAACTGGGAGAGAGAGATATACGTTTAGGATTTGTCAGAATGTACCTGACGATTATGACCATAAGAATGGATGAAACCACTAAGAGTGTGATAATCAGTTTGATGTGTCCCCAAGTCTTCATTCATCTAGGTGCTGCCATGAAGGTGTTTTGCAGATGTGACTAAAGTCCATAATCATTGACCTTAAGCAAGGGAGATCATTCTAGATAATCTGCGTAGGCCTGATCTAATCAGTGGAAAGTCTTTAAGAGCAGAACTGAGACTCCCCAAGAACAAATTCCACCCAGGAACAGCAGCTTGCCCCTCCTGGCATCTCGACCTGTGGATTCCAGGCTTGCCTATCCAGCCCCACAATCACATAAGCCAATTCTTTGAGAGAAAGCTCTTAATACAGACATCCCCTGCTGGTTCTTATACAGAGAATATACAAAGTGATGACAGAAGAGAGGTAAGAAGACTATGGAGAATGCGATCATTTAGGAAACATCAGAGGAAGAGCAATCTATGAAGGGGACTGAAGAAAAAGCAGAGGATATGAGGAGAAGGTGCTGTTGGAGAAAGCGAGGGACCTAAGATCAGTCGGGCATGCCAAACCCTGCACAGAAGTCAAGCGACAGGTGGCCTAGAACGAGCTTCTGAAACGTGAGCATCGTGGCTCTGATAAAGGACCATCAGGGAGGGAGGTGTGGAGGATCCAGCCGAAGACAAGGAAAAGAAGAGAAGGAATCGTTATTCCAATAGGCTTACTACCTATGACGGACAGGAGGATGAAACGACACTAGCTAGGGGAACTCAAAAAAATGGAGGGTTGGTGGATGTCGGGTTGTTCATTATTTGTAAGATGACAGATACGTGAGTATATCCATGAGCTGAAGGGACAAGAGCGAGTGGAGAGGAAGAGATTAAGGTAGAGTAGAAGGGAGATAACGGATATGACAAAGACCCTGGGGTGGTGATGAGATTCAAAACACAGAAGCAGGGACTTGCCTTAGGTGGAAGGAAAGAAATGTTTCCTTTGAGATGGAACAGAAGAGAGGAGAGTGACTGCGGATGGGCATTGGTGGGGAGGGGTGTTCCGGGGGGCTGCACTCTAGGGTCTCAGTGAATTGCTGGGTAGGAGGGGAATAGGGTCAGGTGGAGGGTTTGACTTTGTCTTTTAAGGGAAATTGAGAAGGAATTGGCTCTTTCTGGAAAATAGAGGAGACACACAAAGACGTCTAGGCAGAATGGGGGTCAGATACACTTGAAGGCAGTGGCTTTGCCTTGACAAAGATAAAATTGATTGTATCCAACAGCATTCAGCCAGGTATGTATAGGAACAAGGAAAGCAGACTAGTGGCTTGATCGAGGGTCAAGGCTTTGGTGGATGACAGTGGCAGAAGGGCAAGAAGGCAGGTAGTTGAGTGTATTGTCAAGATGGAGGCTGATGTGGCGGCTCCTGGAGTCTAGACTGGGGAACAGAAGAAGAGATAGTCTGGGAAAAAATAAAGAATCTCTGGGGAAGAAGGTATCCAAATGTTGCAGAAGTGCTATAGGGGACATCAGTAGTAGAGTGGGGTGAGGCTCTGGGGTCAGGCTGCTGGACTTATTCTGGCCCCATCAGTTGCAAGATGGGACCTAGGTCAGTTTATTTATTCTTTCTTTACCTTAGTTTCCTCATCTGTTATATGGATGTGCTAATAATATACCTATGGTTGTGAAGATTAAATAAAATAATTCACATGAAGTAGGTAGCTTTACCTGCTTAGCACATATTAAGTGTCCATTAAATTTTAATCATCTTTGTAAGTGAGAAGAGCCATGTGTGGGAAATGGAAGTAAGAGAGGGAGAATGGATGTTTAAGATATGAAAGCTAAGGTCTGGGGTGTGGGTGTCATGGTGCTTATTGTGAGTGATCTGCACAGGAGGAAGTCAAGAGACCATGGGATTAGGATCCTGAGTGTCACACCCATGAGCACACCCAAGGACCACAAATCCCAAAGCCTGGCGAGCGGGGAAACTGGAGCACTTAAATTTTAAGATCTTCATAGTGAAATATTAATGTGTCCTAATATTAGGAGATTATGGCAATTGGTACACATTAAATGATGAGAATCCTTGAAATTTTAGATGGGGCAGCATTTCAGGTGCCCAAGGTGGGAAAAGCTATTTGTAATGCAGGCCTAAAAACAGTCAAAGCTTTTTCCACAGCTTAAACTTTCTCCCCAGGTCTGAGCTGGTTAGGTCTGTGCCTGCCAACCGTCTGAGGATCTACAGTCCGTCTCCTGAATGATTTGCCATGAGATGGATCTACTCTAGGACTCTTTTGCATGTATAATATTTTCAAATAATATTCTCAAAAGTGACCTTCCATCATTTCAAGCAAAGTGGTCCAGTTCTGATGAGCAGACCACAGCCCTGTTCTTGACCTCTCTCTTGAATCTTCAGCCCATTCTTCTGAGCTAGATAAAAAGTCCATCAACTTTTCTTCAAAGCTTTTATTGTTCAATTCTTTGGCCATCCACCAGTATGAACAAATCCTGAATACTCCTTTACCCTCTTAGCTGCAGATGTAAGCAAACTATCGTTTCAGCAGGCTGGCATTCCAGGACAGCAGTATAACTCTCCACCTGTCATTTATTTTCCAACTTAACCACTACATAGTTGAGAACAGGGTGGGAGGATTGATGATGTTACGTGGACTAATTTCTTTTATATTTTTAGTTTAATTTATCTCCATCTAACAAATAGTGCCAGACATCTTTGGAAAATCTGTCCATTAAAAGTCCTAGTTAATCTACAAGACTTTTTCCTCCTGCCATGTCCATTTTTACACATAGCATCTAAAGGCTATTTTAAGATTCTTCATTTTTTTAAATCCTAGTCAGCAGGGCCATATAAAAAGTTGTAGAGCAATGACGAAGCTCTTTTCAAACTCAAGACTTCAGGTGCTCATTCAAATAACAATGAGATGTATCTGCATTACTTAAGCATCTAAATATGATATGAGATGGAAGAGAGATTATTTTTGCTTAGAGTTCTGTTTTTGCATGTTTTATTACCAAAAAATGGCCTCTGTAGCAAAGGTCTGCTAAAAATTTTGATTATCATGTAGAACACAGTGTCTTTTCTTCTGTCTAATCTTCTTTCTGATGGAGATTAGCCCTGAGATTACTAATGATTCGGAAAACAATCTACTTTTAAAATATTCCCTTCTAGAGCCTCTACTCATCACTAATAGAATTCCTGTGAAACACAATAGGCAATTTTGGCACCCAAGGGTACCAAGCTACAAACACTAATTACAGGTAAAATGAGCTTTATAATATGTATTTGGAGGCTTAAATGATAATTTTCAATTTCAGAGCATAGCTGGGGATAAAAGACCTGACATCTCCAGCCCCCCTGCCCCCACCAAAGAAAAGGTAAAGAGATATTTTTATTATGATAATTTCCCAAGAGAAAGATGCTGCTATAATTGTTGCTCTTAAAGTTCGTAGTAAATAAAGGGCTTATTTCAAAACTAAAGTCAGGATTTAAAAAACAAAATTCTTCAATCCTTCATCCTTTCAAGATCCCTAATCAGGGTGACCTGCATCCTTCCTTTCTTTCGTAGGGACTTCTTAAGGGAATGTAGGCTTCTTATGCACTGTCAAGGGTGTGTTTCCAAAGCATGAGGTCTCCCAGAAAGTGAAACATGTATCTCTCACAGGGCCTGCAGAACAAAGTTAGGGTTTTTTTTTTTTTTTCCTTTTCATTCTGTCATTCTTTCTTAAAAGAAGAATCACTTTACTTACCAAAAAAACTAGTGTAATGTGGATATTTGGATACTTATTATTGGAAGTTGACTTAAAGAAAATTTCACAAAAGAACAATAAAATAAAACCTTCAATTTCTCACAGTTGATAAAAAAAAAAAAGAAAGAAACAAAGAAACAACAAAGTAATTTTTAAAAATCTCCATACCCCAAACTTTAAAGTATGGCTTATTTACAAAAGTGACTGATATTCTAAAGAAATGGAATGACATTTCAGTACTAAAAAGGCTCATATATAGATGTCAACACCCTGCGTACTATGCTGGCTTCTGTTTCATAAGCCATAACACCAGTCTGATGAGTCACCAGAATTTCTGCATTATTTTCAGTGTATTTGGTGGCCCTGAAATTTGTCATAAGAAATATTTGCAAAGGGCAAAACAAAGTGCTCCAGACTAACGCAGGCAACCAGGCAAAAGGCAAGGCAAGTGGATTAGTTTCTCTACCAGGACACGTCGACCTTCTTGTCGCACCCTGGTGCTTCCCTTCCACGCAGAGTTTTCAGCAGGCGCTTGGGACCCTGGGGCGAGGGGGTAGCGGGTAGCTCTTAAATCCTCAAGACGTCTCTGGCCTCTGATTCCCCCTGTGTGAACCTCACAGTATCCCACCCAGAAACCCTCCCAGGAGATCCTTCACCTCCTCTAAGAGGCCGCCCTCTGACAATCTCCGGAACGCTGCACGGAATAGGGCCCCCACCACCCGGTGACAGCCCCACAGCCGGCCCTGGTGGCGGGGCCCGACCCTCGCCCCCTGCCCCGTCTGGCCTCCGCGGCGCCCTAACCCCGCGCTCACCGGATGATCACGAACATGACCAGCGAGTTGCCCACCAAGCCCACGACGAACACCACGGAGTAAACCGCCGTGATGATGACCGGGATGGCTGGGGAGATGTGCGCGGGTTCCAGCGGCGCGTCCTCCGCGCTGGCGCTGCCGTTCGGCTCGGCCCAGCCCGGGAACCAGGCGCTGCCGTTGGGGAGCAGGCAGGCGCTCGGGGCGCAGGTGGGGCCCGGCTCCCCGCGGAAGATCTGGACCGGGGACTCCATGGCGGGGGGGCTGCAGCTGGAGGGCGAGGACAGGCGGCACCTGCCGGGCTGCGGGAGCGAGAGGACGGGCTGAACCCGCAGAGGCAAACTTAGCCCGCGCCCAAGCTGGAGAGCTGCGGCCCGTGGCGCTGGGGACCCAGGGCCCTCCGACATCCCCGGGGGCGCGACAGGGAGGACTGATGTCGCTGCCATCTCGACCCGCTGACGCGCCGCCGGGTGCCGGGCAGGGGCGGAGAGCGCTCGCTCCTTCACTCCCCGCTCCCGAGATGCACCCCACCCATTCCCAGGCACCAGCCCCTGGTGGGTATGTTCCCAGACTGGCGATCTGAGCCCCCACGCACAAGGCACCCCGCACCCCACCCCCCGCCCCAAGCACCGAGCACCGAGCACCGAGCCCTAGCTGCCGCAGCACCTCGAAAGCCGAAAGCTCACTTCTGGTTCCCGGAGACAGGCGCGAGGTCCTGGGGCGCTCTGGTCGGTGCTGAACCGCACGCTCCCTGGTCCTGCTTAGCTGTCGGGGTCGCCGCACCCCTGCAGCCCCCGTGGCCGGCACTCGGACCGGCCCAGTGCTCC